CATTTCACCATTGTAGGAACCATTGTTAACCATACTGTACCACCCACTGGGGAACTAGTATACTATTCAACTTTTGTTTCCCAAATTGTGGAGGAGGGAGGAAGAGAATCTTACTGATGGATGGCTTGGTCTAGGAGAAGGTTGCTACCCCCCTTTCTCTCTGTTCCCTCCCCCCTTATTCCTACCCTTACCCTTCATACCCCTCCCTTTCTTTATTTTTTTCCCAACTGGGCGACTCTCACAGAGGCTTTCTGAACACTTGCTTGCGTACCTTGCTCATGGCAGACTAGAGGGAGAAGATTGCAGATCCGTCTCACTCAATAGTGGACATTTTCCTGCTCTAGGCTTCTCGGCTGTTAATGTACATATATTCTGGATATGAATCAGAGGGGTTGCCATCTACTTGGACCCTCCCCGTCACTTCCCCCTCTTTAGTTTTTTCTTTTTTGTGTTGTTTTCTGAAATATATGTTTTTAACGATATAGCTTGCTTTCATTTTTGATATTTCCTTATTTCATTACAGTAGTCTGATCACTGCTCTATATTTTTATGTTGCTGGAACACTTTGTATGTCAAATCATTTTTTTTCATCAATAAAAATGTATTATGGAAACAAAAACTTGTGAAACATTAGTCTCTTACTAGACCCAGGGCACTCTCTTCTGGGTTCCTGAACACATTCTGTTCTTGAGTTCAAGTTCAAAAGTTGCTGGGATTTCTCTCTTTCCATCCTGCTGAGACAGTTCCTATTTTCCTTCCTTATGAGAGGTGGGAGTGCTTACTAATGGAGTCTGATCTTACTAGGCATCCAAATCACATGTCACACCTTCCTATGGAGGATACCAATCTCTGAGGCAAAATCCTGATTGCAGTAAGGTATAGCAGGGTTCTGTTCAGCCACCAGCCCAGTCATCTGACACCCCCACTAGTTTTAAGACTGTCCTCTCCTTTCCTATCATCAGCATGCAGACACACCTCTCCGGGCTCTGTTGCACTAGCCAATCACCATCATCCAGGGTTGATCCGGACCCAGCAAAGATGGCTGCACTGGAGATACTCCATATACGAGTGAGCATTACAAAGTGGTCTCCTTATAGATGGCTGCTGCACTTTTTCATTAATGAATATTCAGTTTAACACTGTTCACACTGCAAAAGTATAATACAGCAGCAACAAAGAAAAATGCTCTGCTGCAGTTATCAGCTACAGTCCAGAGTACACATACATAGCACTAGGTGCACCACTTTACCCTGTCCAGCCACAGCAACTGTCAGCCTGTGATAGATTTTGACAGGCTGTTGGCAGCAAGACTGGACCAGGCATCTGTACCTTCCAGCCACAGTTAAATGCCAGATCCTCGTGACTTTTCAGACCTACTGTATATAGTGTCTTTTGGGCTTGCCCTAAGATGAAACATTTTAGAGCACGGTTGCCCAGAATGCCAGCGCTCACTTGGTTAACTACTTTCCTTTGACCTCAAAGTGGACAGACTTTGGGAACTTAGACTTACAAGGAGCTAGAATCACAGCATGTGGTAGAAACCTGCCAACTATTTTTATCCCTGGAGGCTAAAAATATCATCTTCCACAAGTGAATTTACCCCAAACCACCTACATTAAACCTTTTTTGGATAAACTACTGTTCATCTTTTAAATGATTGAGACAACTTTGTAGAAGGAGGGGACACAGACACCTTTTTCTTTTTTTGAGGTGTGGGAATCGTTTTTTGATACTTTGCCAAGTTTACCCAAACTATTAAGTTTTGCATTGACTTCCTGGTATATTGCTCTTGACCAATGATGCCCTCGGTCCTATTTTAACCTCCTGAAAGATCTTCTTGTGACTTTCTCAAGTTTTTCAGCTACCGACTGGTGGCCAGTTGATGATTGCCAGTGATTGCTGAGCTCCTAAATTCCAAAATAATATCAATGGATGCTAGCTTAATCAGTCCCAATTTCATATAGTGGAAACTAGTGTGGCAAAATATTCTGCTGGTGAGCAATTGCATTATCACTGAATGTGATTCGCGGATTGTTTGTAAAAAACAAATTCAAGGTGGCACAGTCGGTAGTCTGCACCTACTGATTTCCACTTAAATACAACCAGCTGTGTGGTTCTTTGAAAACTGTAGCAATTGATAATCCATAGTGAAATGTTATGACACATTTATGATTGCCTTGCTGTTTTATGCTTTTGAATACTGCCTTAACCTTGAAGTTCTTCTTGTATGCAATGTGTTTTTCTTCTAAATGGATGACAAATTGACAGGATAACAGAATGATAGATTGAGATGGGTTACAGAGTTGTTGGCTAAAGGATGGATCCTCTTGTGGGATCTTGATTCCAAGCCATGTATACAACGCAACATCAAAGCTGGACATCTGTACAGTATCACATTGGCTTCCCATTGTGCAAGAATAATACAGCTACCCAAATTAGAAATGTGGTTGCTGGCACATATCTTCTATATGCATCTTTGCCAAGCCTCATTATCATACACTAAAAGTATTTATCAACAACTCGTCTCCTCTAACAAATTTATGCAATCTTGTTTGAAACCAGAGGGAATATATATTTTAATTTCGTTAGCATATGTCTGGTGTAGCTCATAACATGCCAAGTCTTACTCTACTACTGTATAAACATAGCCTACATTATTAAAATAATTTGTTGTCTGGGTAATTAGGTTCTAATGTACAGCAGAAGAGATGATGTATGTAGAAATATGATACTAGTTATAAAATAAACATTCATATTTTAATTTAGAGGAAATGTGTTTGAGAAACTGGTTACTTTTTACACATGGAGTGTGAAACTGTATTGGTAGGAAATTAAAGCAGTGAAGAACACAAGACTTGGGTGCAGTCAAGTCCACTTATTAAGTAGATGCTACTCCATTAAGAAAGGGTCACAAGAAATTAGGAAAAAGAAAAACTTTGCACACAGCATGTTTTGCAGTATAAAACAAGTGCTAAATTTGCATGAGCTAGACATGAGTATGCTGGAACTTTTAGATCGTTTAGTTTTGGATGCATTTGCTCACTGAAGAATTTTGTTTCATCATATTCGTTATGTTGACCCGATTATATTCATTATGTTGACCTGATTCATTTTTGGAATTCGTTTCATATCTTCGGCATTTGTGTCTTATACACTGCTGAAAAAAATTAAAGGAACATGTTAGACGCATCAGATCTCAATACTGGAAAATATCATGCTAGATATCTATACTGATATGGACTGGGTAATGTGTTTGGAATGTAAGGATTCCCCATCGTTTGATGGAAATGAAAATTATCAACCTACAGAGGGCTGAATTCAAAGACATGCCGAAAATCAAAGTGAAAAAATTATGCAGCAGGCTAGTCCATTTTGCTTAAATTTCATTTCAGCAACTCAAAATGGTACTCAGTAGTTTGTATGGCCCCCACGTGCTTGTATGCATGCCTGACAACGTTGGGGCATGCTCCTATAAGACGAAGGATGGTGTCCTGGGGTATTTCCTCCCAGATTTGGACCAGGGCATGACTGAGCTACTGGACAGTCAGAGGTGCAACCTGGTGGCATCAGATGGACCAAAAAATGATAACCCAGAGGTGTTCTATTGGATTTAGGTCAGGCGAGCGTGTTCAATGGTATCACTTCCTTTATCCTCCAGGAACTGCCTGCATACTCCCGCCACATGAGGCTGGGCATTGTCTTGCACCAGCAGGAACCCTGGATCCACTGCACCAACGTAGGGTCTGACAATGGGTCCAAGGATTTCATCTCGATACCTAATGGAAGCCAGGGTGCCTGTAGAGGTCTGTCAGTCCCTAAATGGATATGCCTCCCCAGACCATCACTGACCCACCACCAAAGCGGTCATGCTGAATGATGTTACAGGCAGCATAATGTTCTCCATGACTTCTCTAGACCCTTTCACATCTGTCACATGTGCTCAGGGTGAACCTGCTCTCATCTGTGAAAAGCACAGGGTGCCAGTGGCAGGCCTGCTAATTCTGGTGTTCAATGGCAAATAACAATCAACCTCTGTGCTGCTGGGCAGTGAGCACAGGGCCCACTAGAGGACGTCAGGCCCTTGGGCCACCCTCATGAAGTATGTCTCTGATTGTTTGGTCAGAGACATTTACACCAGTGGCCTGCTGGAGGTCATTTTGTAGGGCTCTGACAGTGCTCATCCTGTTCCTCCCTTGCACAAAGGAGCAGATACCGGTCCCACTGATAGGTTAAGGACCTTCTACAGCCCTGTCAAGCTCTCCTAGAGTAACTGTCTGTCTCCTGGATTCTCCTCCATGCTCTGGAGACTGTTCTGGGAGACACAGCATATTGATCCAGGTATCGCTTCATGCTACCAGTAGTGACACTGACCCTAGCCAAATGCAAAACTAGTGAAAACCAGTCAGAAAAGGTGACTCCACCTGTAAAACCATTCCTGTTTTGGGGGTCATCTCATTGTTGCCCATCTAGTGCACCTGTTGTTAATTTCATTAATGCCAAAGCAGCTGAAACTGATTAACAACCCCCTCTGCTACTTACTAGATCAATATCCCAGGAGTTTAATTGACTTGATGCTATACTTTGATTAAAAAGTGTTCCTTTAATTTTTTTTTACAAATAAATCTGTGAAAAGTGTGGCATGTATTTGTATTCAGCTCCACCGAGTCAATACTTTGTAGAACCAACTTTCGCTGCAATTACAGCTGCAAGTCTTTTTGGGGATGTCTCTACCAGCTTTCCACATCTAGAGAGTGACATTTTTGCCCATTCTTCTTTGCAAAATAGTTCAAGCTCTGTCAGATTGGATGGAGAATGTCTGTGAACAGCAATTTTCAAGTCTTGCCACAGATTCTCAATTGGATTTAGGTCTGGACTTTGACTAGGCAATTCTAACACATGAATATGCTTTTATCTAAACCAGGGGTATTGAATTAAAATTCAAGGAGGTTTCTTCACTAAAATTTTCTTCTGGCCGAGGTCCGAATAGGGTGTGCTCATCAGTGTGCCCCCTACATTAGGTGTCGCCATCAGAGTGCAACTTTACATCATGTATTCCCATCACATCAAGTGTGCCCATCACATCAGGTGTGCCCATCAGAGTTCTCCTTTACATCAGTTGTCCCCATCAGAGCGCCCGTTTACATCAGGTATCCCCATTACAGTGCCACCTTACATCAGGTATTCTCATCAGAGTGCTCCCTTAACACTCAAAGTACCTCTTTCTATCATATTTCCCCATCAGAGTGCCCCTTTACATCATATTCCCCATCAGAGTGCCCCTTTACATCATGTGCCAATCAGACATCCCCCTTCCATCACATGTGCCCATCAAAGTGTCCCTTTCCACAGTATGTGCCCATTTGTGCCACTTAACATAAAATGTACTCATCAGAGTGCCCCGTAACATAAAATGTACTCGTCAGAGTACCCCGTAACATAATATGTACCTGTCAGAGTGCCCCGTAACATAAAATGTACTCGTCAGAGTGCCCCATAACATAAAATGTACCAGTCAGAGTGCCCCGTAACATAAAATGTACCCGTCAGAGTGCCCTGTAAGACTACACCCTATCTTGAGGGCAGACAGGAGTTGTGCAGGGATCCTTGCTGAAGGATGCTTGTGTACAGACAGGGAGCGGGAGCCAGAGAGACAGTGAGCTGCATAGGGCAGTGCGTACACGTGATGTCATCAGCCGTAAAGACCACCCTGCTCAGTGGCGGATCTGTCATTGTGGGCTGGCGGTCCAGAAGGGAGCACTATTGGGGCTGTTCTTGGACCACGGTCCGCCATTTAGTGACCGCTGATCTAAACCATTCCATTGTAGCTTTGGCTGTATGTTTAGGGTCTTTTGTCCTGCTGGAAGGTCCTAATCAAGTCCCTCCACTTCACAATTATGTGCCACTTTGTGTTGGTCTATCACATAAAAGCCCAATAAAATACTTTTACATTTTTTTGTTGTAACATGACAAAATGTGGAAAATTTCAAGGTATACTTTTTCAAGGCACTGTAACTGATTGCGCAATATCTACTGGCGTCACGTGCATCTGAATTAACGAATGGAACAAAATTTGCATCCATTTATTACCCGAATATGAATTATCGAATTAATTTGAAACTCGATGTCATTTTCCCATGGGCACGAACTACTATCGCATCATGTGACGTCATATGAATGAAACAAATGCAATTGTTAATGTCATTATTAGGGATGCATTGATACCCTTTTTTATCGGTGAGTACGAGTACAGATACTTTTGGTCCAGTACTTGCCGATACCGAGTACCAATACTTTGCGGTGCAATTTGCGTCCATACAAAAGAATGGGCACAAATCATACTACATAGTATGGCATGCGATTTAAACAGGAATGCGGTGTGGTTCCTGTCCAATAATCGCATGCAGTTTCTCCATTTCTTCTGTGTGAACCTAGTCTTGCCATAGTGATTTCAGCCTGGATTCACACAGGAGTGGTGCGAAAAACCACAGCAGTTTGGACAGGAATTGCACTGCATTCCTGTTCAAATCGCATGCCATTCTTTGCAGTGCGATTCGAGCCCAGTCATTTTGTATGAACGCAAATCACACCACGTTTTCTATGGAACAGTATACTACAAAATACTCGCGGGCCACTGATTGCAAACAAGATTTGTTTATTTGCACTAACAAAGTATTTTTCCTAACAAATTCAATCAAGGCCATGTTGCAAAAATGAATACACCCCCAATGAAAGTCTTAGGAGTATTTCAAATATATGGCAATATATTTGGGAAGAAAATTTTTCAAATATATTTCAAATATATTTTTCTTCCATGTGGGTAGTTTTGAATAGAAAGGAGAGGGCTTAGAGCACTTGCCAGGTTTACATTGCTGTCTATACCTCCATTATGGGAATTCACCCTCTGCAATAATCCTGTTTATCATCAAAGGTGAAAGTAAAAGAAAATCCCAGATTTTGGGCTGTACTCAGAATAGGAATAGTGCGGGATATCTACCAATGAAGACACCAGTTCTGGTGACCCTAGTGACAACCAGGGATTCCCACACTTTGGAGGGATTTCCTCTCACTTCCTCTTTTGGCTATGGGGCAGGAAGTGCAGAGAAATCTCCTCAATAGGATGCAGATGGCAAAAGTAAACCTTAAAGGGGTCTACCCCCCCCCCCTTTACTATATCCAAAATTTAAAAAAAAAGTTGCCCCCTCTAAACCAGCTGGGGGATCTTTAACTGCTTTCCTGCTGCCCTAAAGCAGAAATACTGCTACAGGGCAACAGGGGTGCGCAACATCATGTGTGTATATATGCATTATTTTGCATTTCCGGGTAGGGGGCACGCACAGCATACCGGCGTCGCCATTTGCCATATTGGGTCCCGGACGGTGATTCCCCGCAGGCACTCGGTGATCGCCATGTATCACCGATGGGTGAGAGACCTGTATATGAACAATACAGATCTCTCCCCTGTCAGCTCCTGCACAATGCTTTGTATGGCTCTGCATAGCACAGCAATACAAAGCATTGTGCTTACAGTGTAAAACACAGCACACAGCCCCTATAGTGAAACAGCACACAGTTAATCCGTTGATCATCCCAGATGTTAATCCCTTCCTGCCCAGTGCCATTAGTACAGCTTCAGTGCTTTTTATTAGCACTGATCGCTGTATTGGTGTCACTGGGGATGTCAGTGACACCAAGTCAGCCAAGTCAGTTCCCCCCAGTGTCAGAATGCCTGTCGCAGTCCCGCAGTCACTGATTGCCACCATTACTAGTATATATATATATATATATATATATATATATATATAAATCAGTATACAGTATCTGACAGAAGTGAGTACACCCCTCACATTTATGTAAATATTTTCTTATGTTTTCATGTGACAACACTGAAGAAATGTGACACTTTGCTACAATGTAGCAAAGTATATACGGACATTTGTAGATGCTATAACTTTCACACAAACCAATTAATTTCCATGTATTGGGATTTTTTTTTTTTAGCAAAGACATGTAGCAGAATACGTTTTGGCCAAAATTTATGACAAAATTTGATTTTTTACTGGACATGTTTTATAGCAAAATAGTTTTTTTCTCAAAATTTAGTCTTTTTTTTTTATAGCGCACAAAATAAACACCACCGAAAGAAATCTCTATTTGTGGGGAAAAAAGGGACATACATTTCATTTGGGTACAGCGTTGCATGACTGCGCAATTGTCAAAGTAATGCAGTCAGGGAAAAAAAGGGCCTGGTCAGGAAAGGGGGCAAATCCTCTGGAGGGCAAGTGGGTAATAAAAGTGCAAAATCAGCTTCCTGATAATAGTGAGATTACTGTATTTAAACTAGGAAAAGAACTATAAATCATTATTGAGAACATGTATTCATTTTCACTTGTAGAACAGAAACATTCATAGGCTTCCTGTCCAGCTGACCCAAACACATTATAAGCTGCTCTCTCAACATCAGTCATTTAGTTTTTTGAGAATAAAAAGGTTTCAGCCTTCAAAGAGACCTAAAGAGGTCTCTGGAATGTTGGGTATGTAGGACCATAATTACTCTTGCTGCTTCTCCTTTCACTGTCCATTCTCAAGCTGGGGGGGGAGGTACAAGACTTACAGGTGTCACTTAACTGCAGCAGAGAAAAATCAGGTCTCCTGTCCTGCCAGACAGGGTTGTGCTGTTTGCCAAAGCTGTGTAAAGTACATGAGTGGATGGCCATAAATACATAGTTTGGCAAGTAAAACAGCTCCCATGTATTGCATCTGTGTATTTAGTGATTGCTTGGAGCTGGAGTGTGGAGTGTACACTGCAGCTGATAAACTCAAGTTTAGGAGCTTTTCTGCGTTTTTTTTCAGCAGCCCCTGAACTCTCCCTAATGTTTCCTATGTGTCCATGTACATCATCGTTTACAGTCGTTTACAGGCAGTTGAGTCTGCAGTCGTTTTTTTGAATGGTGCATTGCGTTCAGGATTCGTTTATTTGTCAAATGCTTGTAAACGCGGCTAAATGTGGCTAACCGCGTTTATAAGCATTTGGAAACTTTTTTAACTCTTCCATTTCCAGATTCTGTCCAGAGCTTTTTTTCATCATGAAAAATGCATGCAAATTGTTTTCCAAATGGCAAATTGTTTTTCAAATGGACCTGGTACATCATACTTTGAGGTTTCACATGAAAGAAAATATGTTAGACACTGCTGCAATAATTTCTGCACAGAACTGAGCTGGAACACATCCAAACACACAACAAAAAAAAAAAAGATGGCTAATTTCAACAAATACTGCTCTCTCTGCTTTTGCTCACTCTATTTCTCTCACAATGTCTGAAATAGTAAATTTTTTTACTGTTTTTTCAGTGCATTCTGGGCATTTTGGAAGGTCTCCTGAGGTTATCTTTAAAAAACGCTTCTAAATGCAAATGCTCATAAACGTGGTATGCAGACACAGCTAAACAGACATTTTTTAACCTACGTTTTCCAGCAGTCAGTTTCCCATCGTTCAGAAGTGTTTCCCAAATGTCCCATGTATATGGAGCCTAAATAAACATAAGACATTTTAGGGCTCATGTACACATAGTCATTTACAGCCATTTACAGGCAGTTGAGTTTACAGTCATTTTTTTTAACTTACCGAACTTGCGTTCAGGAGTAGATTTTTTTCAGCGTTTCAAATGCCAAATGCTTGTAAATCCGGCTAACCGCGTTTAAAAGCGTTTGCATTTAGAAGCGTTTTTTTAACTGTTCCATATCCAAATGCTGTCCAGAGCCTTTTTTCATCATAAGAAATGCATTCAAAGCGTTTTCTGTGTATTCAAATGGGCCTAACACACCAGCACAGTCAGTTCCAGGTTTCGCGTGAAGGAAAAAATGGTAGAACGTGCTGCATTATGCTCATGATGGGATCCATAGTGAATACAACCAGAAAAGACAGGTAATCTCAACACATACTGCTCTCTCTGCTTCTGCTCTCTCTATTACTCTCAAAATGTCTGAAATAGGTAATTTTATTACTGTTTTTCAGTGTATTCTGGGCATTTTGGAAGGTCTGATGTTATCTTTAACCTCCCTGGCGGTATTCCCGAGTGTAGCTTGAGGTGAAGTTTCAGTACCAAAAGCGGTAACCCCGAGCTACACTCGGGCTTACCATGTGGCACTGCTCTGGGATCCCTCGGTCACCTATCTTGTCCTGCGCTCCCCGCGATGTCCCTCCTGCAGTGTCCCCTGTAATGTCCTCTAGCGTATGCCGGCATCTGTCATCTGGGTTCCGTCCCCTGCGACGTCAGGACATACGGGGGATGGAACGGCGGGAAATTTGAAAATGACATATTGTGACATTCACTCAATATACTAAAATCACATAGTAAAACATTACTGTATCAAACCATTTCACATACATTTTGTCCTGAGTGCTTTGTCCGATGCCCTGCCTGCATTTTTACTGTTCTTTCTGCCTGGAAACTGAGAAATGTCCATGGTGTCC